TCAATGTATCGAATATATTTTTAGCATGAAACAAAAAGGTGCCAAATGTTTATAGTATATTTCTTTTCAGACAACATAATACCAATTTATAATATATAAATAAATATTTTGTGGCATAATACTGATTTACATTATATTAATATTTGTTTGTTTGAATATTTGTTTATTTAATAAAACAAATAAATGCATACCTAATAAATCAATTTAATAAAAATAAAAAAAAACTGAGAATTGTCAAGTGATCTATTCATTTCTCCCATAGCTGTAAATATATCAGACAAATAAGTTGATATATCAATACTCATACATGCAAGTAATGAATAAGGGGGAGCATCTAAAGCAGATTGTGTGTTCTCCCCCGCTGCCTCCCCAGAGTGTGGACTTAGAGAGAAAGAGAGAGAGAGAGAGAGAGGGAGAGAAAGAGAGAGAGAGAAGGAGGTGGGGAAGGACCTCCATCACAAAGCCTCAACAAGCAGCTGACTGTTTCCCAGGATGCACAATAAGGCCAGTCGCGCCACTTGCAAGGTTCCTAAGTGGCACAACTGTCCACATTCACAAGTCTGAATGGGTCTGGCTGGCCCTGGGGCTCAGCGCCTGATGCTGCACCCGCTTTCTTAGGGCAGTTAAGGCCACTGGTGGGGATGTGTGGGTCTTGGCCCCTGGCATGTCCACATTAACAGACCCACGAGCTGTATTGCTCTACAAGAAACATCCTATTAAAGTATTATGTATTTGCCTGAGAGAGGTCAATGTGGCAGCGTCAGTTTGCCCTGTGCTGTGACCGCTTTAGATTATATATGAACTCTAAAACTCTGAAAACAAGACCCCCTATAGACCTGGTTTTAATTTCCGTTTATGGTCAGTCCAACTGAAACCGAAAGAAGATACATGGGTAAACACTGTCTAATAGTGAGTTAAAGGTATGCTCCATTCTTTTTTTGCATTTACAATCTGGAGCTTATTTGTGAGAAAATGAATGCTGCATTTAATTATTAGGTCCCACTTTATACTAAGTGTCATTACCTAATACAGTGCTCAGCATATATAAGCACAGCCCTCACAAATCTATCTTTTAAATTCATATTTAGAATAGGAAGCTATACAATATTATATTTGTGCATATACATTAGATTAGTCAGTACTAAAGCAAAATCTAAAGCTTATCTAACGAAATAACTTATGATAACGGTCCCAAAACTAGTACACAATTTAAGAAAGATGAAAAATCAAGAAGCAAAAAAAAAAAAACAAAAAAAACAATTTAGATCAATATTTTGCTTTTTTAATTTAATTATTTTATCTTTATCTGTATTGTCTGAATTTGATTGTATTATCTTTCAATGTCTAAATATGTTTGGTGACTAAAATATTATTTGAATAAATATACAGTATCTGTTTAATAAATCAGTTTTGTTGAAATACACTAAAATACATTGCCTATACTTTAAATAAATACAAATATTCATTTTCAAAATGGGCTGTACTCAATTATCCTGAGCACTGTATGTACTTCCACTGAAATTAATAATTCATCATAATGTGCAAATTGTGTAAATACATGTTTTTAACATTACACTTATTCTTTATTAAACACCTGCATGTAATTACATTTTTTATTAATTTATGTAATTACATTTATAAATCGCACTGTTGACCATCCCTTACACCTTAACCCACCCTTAAACCTACCAATAGCACCAAACCTGTCCCTAATCCTACTCATATTCAATCTCAAGGGCACCAGAAGTGTTCTGCCATACATGAAGTAGATTGTATGTACATTTTGATGCAAGTACATATTACAAGCATGTGATTAGCCGAGGACAAAAAAAGAAAGAATACAACCCCCAAAAGACCCCCCACCCTCTAAAAATTTAAGTTTCATTTTTTGTTTTATCAGTTTAAATGTTTAGCAGTTTAATAGTGACCTAAATGATATTTAATAGATTTATACTTTGTACCTTATTGGGGGCACCTACAGTGAAAAATCTCCTTTTCAAGCTGTTTGGACAGATATATGTGTAGGTATAGTGTATAGACATTTATATTGGGGTGATATAAACACACCCAGTGCTTTTTTTTTTTTTCAATTTAACAACATAAAAACAGTGGACCAATTGAAGTGGTTTTCAGACTGAGCGCAACATGACGTAGGAGTGGGGTCCCCCCCGTCCACCAAATTAATTGACAGCTGCATATTAACATGTCCAGGTAGTCACGTGTATAATCATATCAACAAGACAGGATGTGCGCAAAGCAACTGGGAATAAAAGGTCTGTCCAGTTTGCTAGGATCATCAATCAATCATCATCAAATGCGATCAGGAAGAGTGAGTTTTATAAGTTTAAAATGTTTTAAATAGTGCATGTGTGTTATGAATTACAGCGATTTACTTCAGCCTTACTTCATCACTACAGCCGTGTGTCAGAGCAATTATAAAAGAAGACACTTCAATCCCAGCTTGTGGACGTTATATCGGGTTTATTTTGTACATTGACGTAACAGATATTGGATACAGCAGTGGATATTAACCTGTATTCTGTCACATTTGTGTGCAAAAAGAGTGCAAAGCTAAACGCACGCGCTGTCTGTGTGTATGCTTGTGTCTGTGTGTGCGCACGTGAACTTTGTAACGACATTGTGTGAGACTCATCATTGCAACTTAACACAACAAATGCATCAAAGACTCAATGGTAAAGTTCTTACTGTAGTATTTCTCACAAACGCTACGTGAGATCTGCTTCCTTTAAGGGAGGAGATTAAGGCATGCAGAAAGGCACATAGAAACGGTGGGCGGGGAGGACTAGCCTTAAAGGCGCAGTACAACAATACCGCCCCCTGGTGCAAAAATGTATAAAATTTAATCTTATAAAAGGTATAATAAAAAATCTGATGGGTGTTTTGAGCTGAAACTTTACAGAGACATTCCGGAGACACAAAAGACTCATATTAAATATAAAAAAAAGTGGTAACCTAGGCGCCCTTTAATGCCAATGACTGTAAAAAATATGGACGACGCGACAGCCCTTTTTCCCATTGAACGCCTTGAGGGCAAAACGCCTGCTTGACGGGCACAAACTGTCGCAAAAGACTGCTGAAATTGGAGCCAGACATGCGCAGAAGGATTGTCTGATGGAGCCAGAGGAGGAGCCGCGAAAATGAGCAGAGTCGAGCTTCCAATCAAACGCTTTATGTAAAATCAACCACGCCCCCCGAACTTCTCAGCATGCGTTTGCTGTCATATCAACACAAACGGATGTAATAACGTTAACAAATATGAGGGGTTTATATATTCAATCGCGCCAGCTCCAGGCCGCAGCGCATAACTTACTCGCGGCGTCGCGGGCTGATTCCGGCTCGCATGCGGCAGCGCCTGCTCGCTCGGCCGCCGCATGTGGCTCGATTGACTCGGACTGGAATCGGGCAGTGAGTCCACCCATCCGGAGTAGGTCCAGCAGAGGTAACATTAGTCAGTCTGAGCTCTAAGAGATAAGTCTCCGGCAGGCGAGAATCTAGCCGGAACTGTTTTGTTATCTGGGTGGCTAGGCGTGTATCAGCAAACTAATAAGGCCCGAAAAAAGCCCTGAACTTAGCGAATAAACAGTGTTCCACCAGGATCATGTATGTCAGAAACTGTAGTTTACTGCTGAACTCATTTTGTCATGGTAAAATAACACAGAAATCGAATAATAACATTTCAGTCTACTTCAGTCTTCTGCCGAAGCTCAGACGCCGCGCTTTGAGAAACTGTCAATCACAGCTGTCAATCACGATGACACGCCCAGCATTAAATTACTGCTAAAAACAAACTGTTTACAAAAATGAAGATCTGCACCTATTTCAGCACAATAACCAGTGCCTTAATCGACCAGAACTATCTTTCGGGACATTTTATTGCAAGTGTAATATTTTTTTTTATTTGGGCTCAAGTCTCCTTCATTAACACGGAGGAGGCGGGCTTTATGACTTGTACTGCAGCCAGCCCCCAGGGGGCGATCTAACGGCCGAAACCTTCACTCAAACGTAGGCTTGCGGCACACTTGGTCGGGACAGATTCACACACTGCCACAAAATGGCGCCACTAACTCAATTAGTTCTCTTGTGTCCACATAATATAACTTTCCCTGTAATTCAGTCGACTTTATTCCAACATATTAAATAAAGTACTAGTCATTCAACAATTCGAACTGTAAATTATTAAATAAAAAAAACATTAAGTAAAATTCCACCCTGAAAAAAATACATCACTAATAGGAGTTTATCACATTCCCTTTCCTTTGGCTAAGTCCCTGTTTTTAGGAGCCTCATTTTAAATATATATTTTTTTAAATATGTAGCATCTTGTGACACTTTCAGGTGTTAAATGTGAGGTGCTACGCTGTAGCACTGAATAAATGAAGAAATTAAAACAGATGACTTACAGAGATTAATAACAAATGTGCATCCTGTAGTTATAATGTACACCGAACGCACGTGGACATTACATACAAATGTGAGTGCGAAAAAAGTGTGCACTGCCTCTTGCATATGTCTGTGGCTTCGTCACATTGTAGGACTACACAATATCGGTATGTTATACAGAGTAGTTAGGCCTACAATTACAATCCTGAAAGACATCTAGAATGAAGCGAGTCGTCTGCTTTGATATCGATGGAGAATTATTATTAATATTATTATTATTATTATTAATAATAATAATATTATTATTATTATAATAAAAAGTACATTTGTTCAAATAAATAAACTTATTATTTATTTACAATAAACTGTTATTATTGAACAAAGAGCATTTTGATCTACTGCACCTTCATAAAAAAGTTAACTTGAACTAATTTGCATTTGTTATTAATTAATAAAATGTTAAATATGTAATTCTGAATTTTATGCAGATACACTACTTTGGTATATATCTTACTCCAACCTTAGTTACAAGCAAACGGGTCTTAAGTTAATCTTTATTAATAGAAGAGAAGGAAAAAAACACGATCTCACACACTCACCTTTGTCTCCTCCACTCTCATAGAGTCCAGGAGGTAATGCAGCAATTCCTGACTGTCCTGCTGCTGGTAACCCTTAAAACGAGGAGCCCTGCAAACACACACACACACACAATGAGCTTCTCCATCTTACAAATGCATTGGCACAAGTGTAAATACATCTACGGGGACAAAAGCAGCCGAAGCCACGCAAACACCAATTAGCCACACACAAAAACCAATCGGCAGCATATAGAGGAGTAAAGACGAGAGAAGAATGACCATAATCTTCTCTCAAGGCCTTTCCTCTGACACTGCACGAGGAGACTCGCGCTGCTCGCTGCAGGTTTCTGGAACTCTGAGGCTGCTATTATTATTTCCCTGACAACTTTCATTCACTTTCATTTCATCATTCAACCAGCCGAGGTCAGTTGGTCACACACACAAACAGACGCATAAACACATTCAGACCTTTAACCAATTCTCTCATTCAGCTGAATTACAAATCCAAGATTGGAATTTATTGAAGTGAAAATTAAATGTAAAAAGTCTAAAAGAAGGAGTCTGTGTGTGTGTTCCGTTCGTGCATTTCTATATATAAAAGAACCATATTAAACAATAAGCGGTTTTTAGGATGGTAATTTTTTTTTTTCAGTGGGGAGGGGGCTGTATGGTCTGTATAGTTTTAAGTTAAAGGTGTAATAAGTGATTGTCCTCAGAACCAATTTAGTTTTTATGTTTGAACGTGTCTTTTTATCCTGATAGCAAACATTAAAGGGCATCTATGGTGAAAATCATCTTTTGTAAGCAGTTTGAACAGAACTGTGTGTAGGTATAGTGTGTCCACAGTCATATTGGGATAGAAACACAATAAGTCTCTTTTATAAATTTTCTGGCGTTAAAATAGGATGCAAATCCCTCCTATTTTGAGGCCCACCACAACGTGACGTAGGAGTGCGGTTTCCCGCCCACCGTATTAATTGACAGCCCCATATTAACATTTCTTCGTAGTAACGCGTATAATCACATCAACAAGACAGGACGTGTGCAAAGCAACTGGAATTAAAAGATCTGTTCAGCTCTCTGTGATCATCAGCTCTCTGTGATTATTGAATCATCATCAAATGTGATCAAGAATGAGTTTTACAAGTTTAAAACGTTTTTAAAACAGTCCATGTTTGTAATGAATTACAGCGATTTTACCGTCTTTACTTTATCACCACAGCCTGTTAGTGCAATTATAAAAGAAAACATTTCAATCCTGGTTCAACGGATGTCCATACAGCAGTGTTTTTACAGACTTTACAGACACATTGTGGAGACATAAAAGACTTATCTTAAACCTTGAAAAAGGGGTAAAATAGCTGACCTTTAATTGAAGTGGTCCAAATATATGAATAAGTATTATGAAATTCCCCGGAAAGGTATCGGACCAAGAAAGATTCATCCAATCAAAACATTTAGTCCGAACCTAACAATAGGTTGTCTTACAAGACTGTCAAAATATTTACTGTCATACCTCTGCACAGCGTCAGTGCAAAAATGATTACGTTATCAGCCTTTTCATCGACGTGGTTAAGACGTATATGCAAATTTTAACAAAATACCTTCTTTTTTTTTTTAAACTTGGATATGTGAAAACTTTAAAATATTTTCTCTCTGGTGAATGTTACGTGATATTGTAGTGATGTTGGCTGTGTTCGAAATTGCCTACTACCCAGTAGGTACTGCATTTAAATTTACTACTTGACCATTAGAAAAGTATGTTCTATAAAGTATGAATGTCAGTAGTATGATATATACGGATATACAACATCTGCCATTTTGTCATGACCGCATGACCTACCTGCATCAGTTGCATCGCTTCACTCTCATTCATGAATTCTCTCACAGTGCATCATGGGATAGCCTAGCGACCATCGGATGCGCACTTCAGAATCTTGCTGGAAGTAGATCATCCGCGTACTTCCCGCATACTGTTCGTCATACTACTTGGTTCGTATACTGTTTTTAGCTTACTATATAGCGTGGAAGTATGCGATTTTTGATGCAACCTTTGTCTAGTGCGCATTCATGAGTTCAGCAGGCATGGCTTTGAATGTAGGCTTTTAGTGCTATCAGGATAACAATAGCATTTTCCAAGATATCCTGTTGCACCTTCAAGCATAAAAGCCGGCAGCTAGCTGTCTTCAACTCTCTGTATGTACTTTATGTTTATCACTATTATTGCTCATAGATGTGCTAGAAATATGAATGACACTACAAATCTTTTCATAATCAGTTACAACTACTAATTTTGTCTGGGACACAATAAAGCTCTGAGAAAAAAAAACTAAAACAAAATAAATTTATTTACAAGTAAATTTTAATGTCTTTGCCTTGTTAGCTGCATACTGGTGGTGGAAAAGAAGATCCCCCCAATTATGTGTAAAGTGCTTTGTGTGACCAGAAAAGCCCTATATAAATGTAAGGAATTATTATTCATATTCTTATTATTCATATTCTTATTCTGCATTGAACCACATGCAAAAGCCATTCTGACAACATATTTATGTAGGTCAACACTTATATCTCAGCACCTATTAGAATGATACATGTTTAAAGAAAGCAATGCAGAAACTGAGATCAGATCAAACCACCCTAAATCTGTAAGACTGAAGGACAGTGGCGATGTGAAGATCCATTTGTCCTTCCCCCCAGCAAATCCGGTGCTAAATCTAGCAGAAAAACGTGTTGGGCGTTTAGGAAACATCATCTCAGAGTCAGACCCTCAGTCCAGGCCAGATGTGGGCCAGATGTAGAGGACATATGGATGGCTGAAGCCGGTCCTGCATCAACCTGTTGTGTTATTAGAGCTGGTCAAGATGATAGGAAGACCATTTGGTCTGGTGATGAACGCAAGGGTAAAGGGGCAAGTCAAGGTGTTGGGTCGAGCCTTAAGCAGTCCATATGCTCAATGATTTTGCTATCACCTGCTCAGTTTGCTAACCCTGTGTGTGAGGGCAGACTGGGTGAATGAAGAAAGCACTGGCAGGACGGATGGTCAGGCAGTCTGGAGCACCTCTACCATGGGCTGATGAGTTGTGACGTTATGCCTGACTCCAAGTGCCTTAAAGAACTTGAGCCACCTGCTTTTAACACAGGTCATGAGCAGAGGGTCTGCAGAGATGGCCTTCAATTTAATTATTTTTATCATCCACACCACTATTGTACAGCAGTATTCATACTGTATGTTCATGAAGAACTCCCAGTCTAAAAAGAGTCTACAGCAATCTACAGTGGGGTCAAAGTCTTAAAACATGGAACCTACTCAGATTTGTATTTTTTATTTATTTAAAATTGCTTCAAGTGTCAAAAATTAATCTTTAGTTCAAAAGTTTGGGGTCAGTAAGAATTCAAAGATTAATGTTACTATTTTTGTAAGGAGTAACTGTTGTAGTTTTAAAGGGATAGTTGCATCTAAATGTAAATTTACTTACTATTTACTCACCCTCAAGTGGTTCCAAACCTTTATGAATTTCTTTATCCTGTTGAAAGAAGACATTTTGTATAAAGCTGAAAACCTGTAACCAATGATGTCCATACTAGTAGGAAAAACAAGTATGGAAACCAATGGTTACAGGTTTCTAGCTTTCGTCAAAATATCTTCTTTTGTGTTCAACAGAAGAAGGAAACTCCAACAGGTTTGAAACAATTGACGATTTCAAGTTTTGGGTGAAATATCCCTTTAACTTTAGTCTGACTGAATATATTTATTACATTCGATATCAACTAATATTTTCATATTTAAGTGTCTAAAAAAACAAATCAGCTTTAAACAATCCTCTAGATATCTGTTTAACAGCAACGACGCTGGCTGGTCAAAACTGTGCAGGACATTACAGAACTGAGGAGTGTGTTCTGGAGGAAAGCTGAAGCTGACGGGTGAGACGGGCTCCAGTGGGAGAGGTGGGAGACACAGAGACTGTTCTGGAAGCTCATTCCACTGGAAAAGAAGGCTGAGGGAGCCTGTAGCGGTGAGCTCAATATGGCCCTGCCACAGACGGACAGCTGGAACCACTAACACAATTAACAGCGGATGAGTTAGTACCAGACGCCACTCAGCCCCAGCACAATGCTGTAACACACACACTAGCATCCTAGAGCAGTCCAATACATAAAACATTCACATCTTAACAGAGCACAAAACATAAAATTCCAACAGAATTACTATGATGGACTGTGAAACCAGACATAAATGATTGGGGTTTGGATGTCTTTGATACTTGATTTTCAATTGTGACACACTATACAAACATAAATGCATTTGTGGCCATCCATCTTTTCAGCAGATCTGGTCCTTGAAGTATGTCTTATGATTATTTATTTCCTAAATATATACATAGATAAAAAAAACAACTTGGGAAAAATCAATAAATTACAAATTTGGATTTAAAGCAAAGTAGCATATAAAAATCTGACAAAAAGACAAAAGCTTTAATGAGGGAAAGAACTGCAATCCCATAAAGCATTGGAAATGATGATAATGATAATAATAAAAACAATGAAAACAATAATTTTTTTCAGTTGTTTATATCTATATTACAGTATTTTTCAAATATTTAATAAATCAGAACAGCGAGGGAGAGCTTATAATGTGTTTCCCAGCAAAGGAGATAAAGATTTCTTCTCTTGACTCGCTAATAAGAGGAGTTTTCTGCACTGCATTTTGGGCAATGTGGTTTTCAGCATAAATTCCAGAACCGAGTGTTGTAGTTTGTTGATTACTTTTAATCTATTTTTGTCTATTAATTTTGAAATTTTGAAAGTACAAATCAAAACGGTTGCATGCAAAATATTAAAACATTTGATTTATCATATTTTGTAGTGAAATACATAATCATTTTGGAGATTCTATATTGTTTCTGTATATAGGAGTACAGACAATTTTGTACAATATTCAAGCATCTTTTTTGCAAAGGGGCAAAAAGCAAATGTTTAACATTTATGTCATTAGGCACTTCATTTGTGGAGCAATTGAAAAAAAAACTTTCCTTAACCGTACTGTTTCCTTCATATTCCTCCATACTGTTTTCTTCCATATTTTTTGAATTATGTAAGTTCTTAAGTTGAATAGTAAAAAAAACTAGACTGAATTAGGGATGGGCAGTATAACAAAAAAATATTTCATGGCATGAAAAAGTTTATATCATCTTAACAATACCTTTTACAATACAGCTTTTTCTACAGTTAGTTACTGTACTTAAACAAGGTCTTTATATAATACACAAGCTTAAAATAAGAAAAGGACTTGCCCTTATTTTTATTCTTTTGTGTTTGATTTTTGATCTAACAATTATAGTAAACAAACATTTACATGAACAACAAATTCACTGTATGTCACAGTTTTTGTTGATAAACCTTATAATTATAATTATTATTATTATTATTATTATTATTATTATTATTATTATTATAAACATTTCTCAAGTACATCATCTCATATATCTAAATATATCCCAAGTAGGGAACAGTAAAATACACTTAAATAGTTTACATATTTATGATTCATATTTATTCAAGGAAATATCAAACCATTTTTCTTTTCAAAAATACTAAAAATAAAGAATTAAAATCCTTGTATACATATTGAAAATAAGTGATCATTTTTTTGTTGAATATGTAAAGCAATTTTCAACACTGCCTGTCTCCTATTGAGCATCTTTCTCAGCTTCATGCATGCTGCACGTGAGTTGGCCACACTTACTTATTTACATTTTGTGCTATATACGGAATTTAAAAAAAAAAATTACGGTACACATTTCCTTCAGCGATATAGATATATACCGTCATACTGCTAGATTGAATCAAACAGCTCCAGTTGGCAGACATTAAAATAAATGCTGGAATTCAGGTTTAAATCTGTGAACAATAAAGCTCCACCTACTCTGATTTGATTGGCCATCTCAGTCACTTTGACAACGATAAACTGGAAGACCACGTCTGAGGCCTAAACATTTATAATAATACAATCTAAACAACAGAACACTGAGAGACCATATGAGAGACCATTTCTAGTTATTACAGGAGTACTTGTCTGTGGCAGTTACGGCCCTGCATAACCTATAACCAGATGAACTTTATAAAATGATGACAGAGCGGTAAGATAAAAAAAAAAATGAATAGATGTGAAGGCTAAGATAGCAACTAGCTGGCAGCACATCACCAACTCACAAAATCAGAAGAGTACTGAACTGAAACCAGGACATGAATACTTAAATCTCTTTATATCGGTAAAAGATGTGAAATAAGTAACATTAAACTTATGCAAAGTTGCAGCAAACGTAAAGACATCTGGGCTCAGGGTCACTGTGTGTGTGTGTTTACAGGCACCAGGAGCAGGGAAAGCCACTCACCGCTCTTTGGACCACTGCTGGCGCTGGTGCTGCTCAGATCTGTCCAGCTGGCAGCGTGACCTGGCCCTCGATCAACAACGCCAACAGCACTCAGCTGTCTAACACACACCCACACACACACACAAATGCTACTTGTTCCTCACCCATTTTATGTTTGGTGTTCATCCCACCTTCAAAAATGCTGTCCTTTAAAGCACCATATCTCAAAAGATGCCATTCTGCCACATTGTCCAAACTAGCAAATGTACAAGATGGTGTTCAAGATGGCGCAGCAGTTCAAGTACCCCATCAGACCAGCAGCTGTGACCCGCAGTTTGCCAGTCAACAAACGCATTAAACAAACAGGATCTTTCCAGTCAAGGACACGCCGGATCTCAGAAGCGCGCACACACATATAAACGGAGTGGCACAGAAGGCCTTCACTTGACCCCATGAGCCATCGCTCTGAAAGTGTACACGTGTGTGTGTGCAGAGAGTGAGAGTTACATTAATAGTGTATGCGAGGCAGAGATTCAGTGCGGTTAAATCTTTAACATGTTATAAAAACAGACTTGTGTGAACAGAGAGCCTGGCATTTGAGTGATTTCTAAACACCAAGAAGATTATTTTTATCTATCGGTAAAAGAATGTATGTATCAGTGACACTAGTAAGTGATATAGTTAACTGACCGGTATTTGAGCTTTTGAGATACAATGCGCATGCTGTAATTAAATTAAATTAATATTACATGCATTTTCAAATGTTTTAGAACAAATTAAGCAAAAGGTTTAATAAAATATTTTAAAGAAGGATTCATTAAACTGATCAAATGTAACTTTTTCTCACAAAGTTCATTTTTATGCTGTTGTGGTTTGAATTTTGTTTGTTAAAGAAAATCATAATATGTAACACTTTTCACCATTTATAATAACAGGAAATAAGTTTCATAGATATTTACATTAGATGTCGCCTATGCTACTGTTGTCTATTGGAAGGAATGCATCAATAGAGCTGCCATTTTGGTAAAGGGTAGCACTCCTTTGAAATAAATGTGGAACCAAGGTGCAGTGGAGCACTGGCCATCCAGAGCCATAGATATGTAAACATATATACCTATATCTATGATCAGGAGTTTTCCCGGTGGTCAGCATGCAAATATTTTTTTAAAGTATAAAAATTATAATTTTACATCACTTTTCTACATCGATGGATAAGTAAACGCACGAGCATTGCTGTAATTTCATCTAACAAAATTAGCATAAGCCTAGAATTTAGTGCAAGTTGGTGTTACTGTGTCTTATGGTCTGTGCAGTAAGCAACTGTATTACCGTCAATAATGTTTCTTGTTGAGCATAAAAGTTTGTGACATACAAAAATGTAAAAATGTGAAATGTGATGATTTTATGCTTTGTTTTCTTTGTTTGCTTGTTACTACACCCGTAGTCAGCGCAAAAGTCTAGCTTTTTCAGATTTGCTTTAGTCTTGACTAAGTGAGGTTAAAACAGTTTTGTCCTGAGAGCACTGTACAAATATGGCAGCGCTATTGGCACATGCTCAGTGTCCGTATGCGATGTCTACTGTACAGTATATATCTATGAATAAGCTTAAGCTTTTAATAGTAATAATAATAATAATAATAATAATAATAACAATAATGACATTTGCTTAAGCCTTTTCAGCATATTACTGTGTTTTGAATGATGCTGAGAATTCAGTTTTACCACCAAAAGAAAAAAAAAGGTCTCTAGCCTTTGAGACGTTGCTCTTGATTTAATTAATATTTTAATTTGTATATTAATTACTAATTAGCTCTTGCTTTGCTTATTAATTTAGGAAAAATGCATATATTTCAACACTTGTCCATCTGAGGAGAACATTTAAACTGAACACTACAAAATTCACAATCCTTTTTTATTCCCTTTTAAATATAGACATTATATCAGTGTTACCAAACAAAGAACTATGAGTATACCTTTATTTCTGACAGCACTGTGATGGTTTTATGCAGTCGCAATTGTATTTATGCATGTGTATATGCTCAAATGAACTTTGCGCTTAAGGCTGAGATAATGCCAGGTGAGCAGGACGCACATGCACACATATGCAAACCCACAGGTCTGATAAAGGCACAGTACCTGAGTTCATATCACAGAAGCACCAGAGAGACACCCAACTGCCTGGCAGGCTCCTGTCTGAGCCACCCAACCATTCAGCACGTTCAAGCAACATTTAAACAACAGCCAGTGAACCATTCAACCTGTACATGGCATAAAAATCAACCCCCAAGAGCAAGAATTTATCCAGCTATTTGAGTGACTGTGGTGCACAATTAGCCTTGTTTAAAAGTACTGACCCACACAGCTTTACATAGTGTATATTTAAAAAATTATGACATACTTCTGACAGAGCTGGTTGAAAAGGATCTTGGGAGATACAGGCCCTTTTCCAGATTCCTTCATGCTTTGGAGGAACAGGAACATGGCTGAGGTGAGGGGTTCAGGGCTGGGCAACGTCACAGTCAGCGACCCCTACAAAAAAATTCATAATACACATAAGCTAAAGTGAATAAGATTATGAAAGAGGCTGAATTATTACGGTGTCTGGCAGTTGGAATGTACCAAGTTAGTCTCAGTGGAGGGGCTGATCTTCATCTTATGTCCTTTCTCCTTGACATCTTGAATCAGGTCATTCAGCATGTGGGTCTGAGAGAGATTCTAAAACCAAAAATACAGAGATAAGCAAACTCTCAATTGTTTTCTGTCTGCATTTTCTATTTACACTAGTGATGTGTTCGGGAAAAGCAAATCACATGCAAAGGGACATCAACTTCAGATCAAAGTTTAAAACTAACCTATAAAGACCAAACAAGATTAGGGCTGCAAGTATTTTATATTTAAGTATTCTAGCAAAGGTTGACAGTGACATTTTTCAAGAAAAAAAAAATCATAGGAGAGATAAATAAAAATGATCACAAGGAATGTAATTTATACTAGTTATACACTCACCAGCCACTTTATTAGATATACATGTTTAACTGCTCGTTTAATGCTAACTTCTAATCAGCCAATCACATGGCAGCAGCTCAATGCATTTAGCCATGTAGACTTGATCAAGACGATCTGCTGCAGTTTGAACAAAGCATAGTATTTCAGAAACTGCTGATTTACTGGGACTTTCATGCACAACCATCTCTAGGATTTACAGAGAATGGTTAGAAAAAGAGGAAATATCCAGTAAGCGGCAGTTCTGTGGGTGCAAATGCCTTGTTGATGCCAGAGGTAAGAGGAGAATGGCCAGACTGGTTCCAACAGTAACTCAACAGTAACTCAAATAACCACTCGTTTCAACAGAGTTATGCAGAACAGCATCTCTAAACGTTGCCTGGTCTAATGAGTCTTGATTTCTGCTGCAACATTCGGATGGTAGGGTCAAGATTTGGCGTCGACAACATGAATGCATGGATCCATCCTGCCTCATATCAATGGTTCAGGCTGGTGGTGGTGGTGTAATGGTGTGGGGGATATTTTCTTGGCACACTTTGGGCTCATTAGTATCAACTGAGCATCCTGTCAACGCCACACTATACCCAAGTATTGCTGCTGACCATGTCCATGTCTTTATGACCAGTATACCCCTCTTCTTATGGCTACTTCCAGCAGGATAACGCGCCATGTCATAAAGCGCAAATCATTTCAGACAGGTTTCTTGAACATGACAATGAGTTCACTGTACTCAAATGGCCTCCACAGTCACCAGAGGTCAATCCAATAGAGCATTTTTGGGATGTGGTGGAACGGGAGATTCGCATCATTGATGTGTAGCAAACAAATCTGCAGCAACAGTGTGATGCTATCATGTTAATATAGACCAAAATCTCTGAGGAATATTTCCATAACCTTGTTAAAGCAGTTCTGAAGGCAAAAGTGCGTCCAACCAGGTACTTGTAAGGTGTACCTAATAAAGTGTCCGGTGAGTGTATAAATACAAAAAACAAATGCATTTAAATTATCTTCTTTTGAATTATGGTATTAAAAATAATAATAATGAATAAAAACATTTCCATCACTGATAAACTAAAATGGTTCATTTGAAGTACAACCCATTTGAAGTATCCTGTTAAATTAATTTGAGATTCTTTCTTCAGTTGAACACAAAATAAAAAAATTTTTCAATGTTGGTGATGAATAGGCATTGACTTCTATAGTAGGAAAAAATACCAAAAATACTAAGGCAGGTTTACAACAGTCTTCAGAATATCTTCCTTTGTACTGAACAGAAAAGAAAAACTCATAAAGGCCTTTAACCCTTTGTGAGTGTGAGTACAGTTTTATTATTCAGGTAAACTACCCCTTTTATAGAGCTGAGCAAACAGAAACAAACAATAAACAAACGTCTGGAATGTTATTAATTGACTGTGTTTTATAAACTAAAAACTGACACTATAACAAATTTATTGCCAATTAATGTAATGAACTAATGTATTAGCTAACATTAAATAATGGGACAACATTGTACAGTGTTTGATTATGTATATGTGAAAAATCGGAAGTGTTATTAATAAACTGACTGCTTGTCACTTCTGAAACAAGCAACGGTTAAGTGTTTGCTCAAGCCTACGTGGGTGAATAGGCAGTGTTCAACTTTTGCAAATAACATACTTGAATTAATGCGTGGTAATGGGCCAGATCACAAACAACTGACTTCCACCATTCAAAACACTGACACATACTAAAAGTGAGTGCCACGAGTTCTCGGACAAGAGTATACCTGCATCACAGCATTGAAGAAGCAGGTGTTGCCCAGGTTGTTGATGCCCTTGACTGGGATAAGTGTGCTATTGACTGGACTCTTCCCTCTCTGAGTGTCCACATATTCAGCGGGTTCCTCTCGGAGCTTGATGAGTTTTGAGGATGTTCCTAAAAGACGGGTGAAATCACATTGACAAAGTTGTAGTTCATTACCTTTCTTTTTGAATGCTGAACTGCATCTATAAGTAAACTTATCTGAGAGATTATTACATTTTTCTGTATGTTCGTGATGAATCTTGTAGACAGATCTCCACTTAACATATTAATGCACAAAGTATGGTTTCAACATTTCAAAATAAGCACTTACAAAAAGTAGATATCTTAACTACGACTTTTAAGTTAATTCATTTGAGTTAAATGGATCTTCTGTTATGTGAAGATCTGGACTGGGCCTGGTCCCACTGTACGCCTGATTTTCTGCAGCAGAAATGGGTTAACATGCTGGGTAGCAGCTGGGAGTGGCTGCAGATGACAGCTGGATAAAACTCCGCTGGTTAGGGAGCAGGGAACAAGCCCAGCTGCTCCCCGCTACTGCCATAACTCTGCGGGAGCTTCTTGGCCCAAGCGGCCAAACACAAGGCCCACAGAGAGAGAAAAAGAGAGTTTGTCTGCAAAAAAAACTGCAAAACTCCAGAGAAATGACGGGTGAACTGCCCTCAACACTCAGGGGACTTGAAAGCAACCTGCATGATAATTCAGAGCGAGCAGTAGGTCCTGTAAATAGCTCTCAGTCCTCCAGAAGAGAAACTGATGGTGACTATGGTTTAACAATATAGATACAATGACTTCTAACAATAACTGTCTGATAAATATGATAAAAATTCAACATATTAAGTAGAAATAGGTAATCTAAGAGTGACTGAATTTAAAATGACACTATTTTTATTTACTTTATTTCAATGTCAAGGTCATGAATTGTAATAAAACGAATAAAATCGATTAATATTCACGTTCTGTACAGTCTTACATCATCCAATTAATACAATCAACATTTCAATCAAAACTTTTTGCAAAAAAAGTTGCAATCAAAATTATTAAACCCCTCTGCAAGTCATGCTGCTGCTATTAACCAAATTTTTAAAAGACAGTTCAACAAACCAGCATCTAACTAATACTGCATCAAATAATATCAACTAATAGTAAAAGTTTATTAAAAATTTGTGTGAAATTCTGAAGAGAAAGAATCAGATTGTTTCTAAATGCTTGCGTGTGTAAAATTATTCAACCTCAATTAACTGGAGTGTCCTCCTTCAAAGTCCAATGACCAGCAGGCTTCAGTTTTGCTTTGCTAATATGACCTGATTCTTCAAAGAGTCTGTGATATCCTTCATAGAAATTAGATTTATACCTCCTGAACCATCAAAGCATCTTTTAAGTACCCTCAAACAGTAAACACCCCAAAGGTGATGTTCAACATCTAGGTTGATGGATTCAAGTAAAATAGAGTAAGCAAATATTATGCTCACAGTTTTGATCATGAACATTTTGAAGTACACTCTTTAACTTAACCTTCATGAGAGAATATGATCTTTTTTATGCACTTTCTCTCACAGGATATTTGCAGGAATCCTAAAGGTAATTTCAATGTCTTTTTAAAACTTTTTATAGACGTTCTCAAAATATTTTAAGACCTCATCACCACTTCAAGGTCTAATCAGTTTCAAACCTTTAACCTAATAAACAGTTGTTAATAAACAGCTGTAGTTAAATAAATGAATGAAGCACAACCATACAACAGAACTCAGATAAGCTTGGAAGAAACAAAGTTAAAAGAATAAATTACACGGTCGTTTTCAGCGACAGGCTTCAGCCGCTATTTAAACTCATCTTTCTCCAACCAGAAGTACGCAAACTTACATTTTCCCATTTTGCTGTCTGTTTTGCACTTAAGTTTCGCTACATGTGGAGAGCGTCACGTCACCTGCGTTTGTCGCAAATTATGTGACATCATCCAGATGGAGGAGCTTGGCCGGATGCACCCCTACCTGAACCACTGGCATGGATCGTGCACGGCGTTGTTAATATTAGGCGGAAAATAAATATATTTATGCTTTTTTAGAGTCTGAAAAACGTGATTAAGATTTTTAATACCCTTCAAAGGCCTTAATTTTCTCATAATTGATTTATCAATTATTTGAAACCTTTTTAAGACACCATTTGTTATTTGTGTGGTGATGCCTGCGTTAAAACTAAAATATAGCTTCTGTGAGATTTTTTAAAAGTTTGATTTGCTAGACCAGTTTTTGCTCTGGTTTGAGGCCGGTTATTGGCCAAGTCATAAAAGACTGAATCATGAATAGCTATGAACTCATCTTTTTTTATATTTTTATCCTGACTGGCACCATTTGTGTGAGAGAACACAAGTGTTCTGTCAAATTAGGCATTAATGAACAACTGTGAGCACCCAAGGCAATAAAAAGGAGAGAGAAAGCAAACATGGTACTGCTTGATATTGTTAAGCATTACTATTTATCCATTATTTATGCATAAGCTAGATAATGACCAATAAAGAAAAACAAACAATTTATGAACTTCAAGCTACCCAAATCTTCTAGATGCACTTTAAGACTCCTGAAAGGCAAAAATAATTGCAAAAATAATAAAACAAAACTAATTTATGTATATATATATATATATATATATATATATATATATATATACATATATATATATATATATACATATACATATATATATATATATATACATATACATATATATATATATATATACATATACATATAGTGTATAAAATGTAATTAGCATTGAGTTCTAGATATGGTTTAGCTGGACCATAAATTATTTTCCACAAATCTCCATGTCTCTAAAAAGGTGATGAGACACTGTACCGTGTGCCTCAAATAACTTCAAAATGACCTGAAGTAATTCATATCATATAGATGAGTGCAGGTTTTGTACATATCTACAGCTTGTTCTTCTCTCAAGTGGAATAATATGCCTTACTCTTGTGTCCCAATTGGTTTATTCTTGCATGAATGATTTCTGTTTAGAAAAGTGGATAAAACTCATAGCTTATGATGTTTACATGCCTTAGTGTGCACTGATAACCTTCATTGTTACCTACTGTCGGAAAGAACCACAAAGAAAACACACACACACACACACGCACACACACACGCACGCGCACGCACGCGCACGCGCACACACACACACGCACGCGCACGCACGCGCACGCGCACACACACACACACACACACACACACACACACACACACACACACACACACACACACACACACACACACACACACACACAAGCTGTGAACAATCATGTGCTAGAGGTCATCTTTATGATAAACCACCAAAAAAAACAAACAACTAAACATATAATTACAGACTTGCCAGCTCTTGAATGATGCAGGATGTTTGGACGTCAGCCTTTGACAAATGCTGGACAATACCAGGGTCTTCATGAACATGCCTAGGCTGACACTGGGATTACCTTAGAAGCTCTAAAGGTAAATCAAATATTTTTTTAATCCAAGGCTACCATTTTTCAGTTTTTCCAAAACAGCAACGCCATGTTGAGGATATTTGTCACTATTACATTTTTAGCACTTTTAACCCTTGGGTAATGTTCAAATTTACTACTCTTTTGTTATCTTTGTGGTTATTTTTGCCCCATTGACTTCTATTATAATGACATTTTTTTTAAGCCATGACACTAAATAGTCATGTAATCTTGATTGTTGGTGTTTTTCGCTGTTAAGAAGAGGTCAAACTTTTAATTTTTACTGTTGATCATAAGTTAGTAGTATTAACCCTTTATACAGACCTGTGCAAGTAAAAAAGTCACACACAAAGTTCACACACGCACGCACACGCACGCACACGCACACACACACACACACACACACACACACACACACACACACACACACACACACACACACACACACACACACACACACACACAGAGAGAAGAAGCATTTGACTTTGCACTGATTTTGCATGGCAAATGTGACAAGATACAGTATACATCAATATCCACTGGTGTATGGATATCCATTATGTTAATATACAAAATAAACCTGATTTAAGTCCACAAACCTAAATCCTACGTCACGTTGCGGTGGTAGAGCTACGCATCGATGGATTTGCTTCCTTTAACATCAGGAAATTTAAAAAGAGAATCATTGTTTATCACTCCAATATGACTGTGGACACACCATACCTACACATAGTTCTGTCCAATCAGCTTACAAAAGTTGATTTTTATCAAATAAGCCCTTTAAAGTACTTTTAGAATCACAAGATTTCATTTAGTTTATTTACTCATAGAAAGGTTAATGTTAGTATTTTGAAGCATTAATTGTCTATTAACTGCACTTTAAAAAGAAGCTGTCTTTCAAAATAGAATATTTGTAAAATGAAAAAGGTTAGAATTTTTTTTTTTTAAATATAACCCAAAAGTAGTCAAATACAAAACCATTCTAGACGTGCATGTCTAAAACCATTAGACGTGCAATCTAAAACACTAAAATTAGTAGTAACCTACGACGCTCTGGTGGCTTATATATATTAGTTATTACAATACTACAGCAGCCAAATACTACCACAATACATAAGCCTATATTATAATCAATTAAACATTAAAAACTCAGCCAATGTATGAGGGAGAGGGTGGAAAAGTAATTTCCTTCAGGTTAAACTGATGTTGTCATGTCCATAGGTTCATCTTTTCCTATTCAGAATCCATACTGCCACAGCATCTGAAGGAAAGCCCAAGGTCAATACACATGCTCTGATTCAGGAAGTAAATTGCTTTTCCTTGGTGCAACAATGCTCTCCAGAGCTCTCTCAAATGTTATGCAGATCCAAACATACTTATTGCACAAACTAGCCCTGTTCAGGGAAAACCCATTACAATCTGAAGTGGGCAGCTTCTGTGGCCCCATGATTTTCTCACAGAGGTTAATCAGCCATCAAAACAATAGACTGAAGTGCTGCAATTCCTAAGTGGGGCCAAAAGCATCTGGAGCGCTACACAGAAACATCTGGAAGTTTGTCTGTGTCCACACAGCCATTTGGGAGCGAGCCCATATGTCCACGAACGCTACTGTGCATACAAGTGCGACAACAGGGAC